CCCCAAAACTCTCAGCTTAAAAAATCCCCCAACCCCCACAGCAACCCCCCCACCTGAACCTCGTGGATATTTAATACACTAAGCTTTATTTTTTAGCAGTGAAATTCTCTCTGCAGTAGGGAACAGGTTGGATGTCTCTCCCAGCTCTTCCGCAAGCCTTGGGAATGGGAAGAAAGGGGCAGAAATATCTTAAAATAAAAGGGACTGACAGACCCCTACAATGCAGTTCAGTCTAGAGGCACCAAAACCAGCAACCAAAACAACCCATCTAACTTGCAAGTGGCTGCACCATTAAAAGGCCATAAATCCATGTTAGCAAACACCCTAAGCAAAAATCACAGCAAATCAATCACATTTTCCTTCTGCCAGGAGGGACACTCTTGGTGGATGGGTGAGAAGCACCCGAGACAAGGCTCCTGTGTCCATCATTAATTTCAGAAAGTCTTTGTGTCTCTCTCGATTTTTCATGGACAGCCAGGAAAGCTGAGGGTTGGATGCCTCTGGTTTCTACACGTTTGAGAAAGCCACACTTCAGAGGAGCTGTACCTGGCTTCCTTGTTTGAAGATTTGAAGCCCAGCTCTTCAGGGAGCCAAATATTTTCAGCAATGTCTCCAAGGCCAGCATGAATTTTGCCGGAGCAGGATGAGCTGCAGACATTTGTGAGAAATTAAAAGTGATCCTGGCAAATCGAGGAAACCACAAAAAATAAACGGTGGGTAATTCAGTTAAGGCGAAAGCACTTGAGGAGGAATAACCACCTGTACAAATGTATATCTCTGAGCTGCCAGAGCTTTAATAGCTCTGCAAATAGGGCTCTGGGCGTTAAAGTGGGTCAAAAACAAATTAAGGTTGGTGTTCATGGCAATGGAAGCGTAAAAACAAACAATTACGCTGTGTAATTGATGCCTAAAGTCATACTTGTTAAACCTGCCCTGCCGAGGGACTCGGGAGAGCCTAAGCGCAGTCAGAAAGCAAACAAACATTATTTCATCTCCGAGATTTCAGCTAAAAAATAGCAACCAGAGTTTCAGAGATCCTTATTTATCTGTAGGAAAAAGGGTTTGCACAGAACGAGGCTGAGCATACAGCTCTGGAGCAGCTCCGCTCCTGCTGATTTTCTGAAGGGCTGAGATAAACCCGCTGTGACTGCAGGGGCTCAGAGCCCTTCTCCTTCCCAAACCTCTCCTGGCCGGTGAATTTGCACACCTCAGCCGCGGCCAGCGCCAGCCCCGTCCCGCTGCTGCTCTCCGGCTCTCCGCAACCCCGCCTCACCCCGAAGCGGGGGCAGCACCTTCCCTGGGAACACCATTCCCCGGAGCCCCGCTGTGGGGGCCGCCAGGGCGCTGACCGCCCTCCGTCTGCCCGGGGCCGCAGGGGCTGATGGGAGCTGTAGGCCGGGAGGGCCGCAGGGGCTGATGGGAGCTGTAGGCCGGGAGAACGCAGTGCCCGGGGCCGCAGGGGCTGATGGGAGCTGTAGTCCGGGAGGGCGGTGTGCCCGAGGTGGCGGGGCGGATGGCG